TTTTTTTTATCTTTATCTTTATTTTTAATTTCATTTTATTTTGTCAACATACACTGTGGTTGATTATTGTGGCCCATTACCGAAACCTCCCTCCCTCCTCCCTCCCTCCCCTCCCTCCCAACAATGTCCTTTCTGTTTGCTTGTCGTATCAACTTCAAGGAATCTATCGATGGCAGCATCTCAGTACTGTTTTTCACCTTTCCACAGAGTCAAAATTATCAGACAATTTCTTGGTTCCCCTGCCTACCCTGCCCTCCTAAACCGTCTGTCTCCTTGCTAAGTAGGTCTGGACCAAATGCCCTGTGGGCCTGCTGTTTAGCTCTTGCCCTGGAGCTTCCCTTCACCTCTTCTGTTGGTTTCACTTTTTCCTCAACCTCATGTCCTCCTCTTTCTTGGTTTTCTCCCTCATTGACAATGTGCTACATCAGTGGCTGCTTTAAAGTTTTAGAGTCTTTAAGTTTTGAGTCTTTACATATCTGTCCAGTTCATCATTTGGCTGGCCAATACAATTTTATGTTGCAAATTACTTTCCCTTAGAAATTTGAAGGCATTCCTTCATTGTATACTCTAGTATAGAGTTTGGCAAACTTTTTCTTTAAAGGACCAGATGGTCAATATTTTAGGCTTTGTGGGACACATATGGTCTCTGTTATAATGTGAAAAACATCCTTAGGCTGCAGGCCTGAAAAGCAGGTCATGGGCCATGGTTTCCCAATCCCTGTCTATTTTGTTTTGTTGTCTTTGTTTGATAATCTCTAGAAGATCTGACGAGAATCTGATGATTAAATGTGAGCCATTCATATTTAAGAGTAAACACTTAAAAGCTAGTTAGAACCTTGTGAGTTGGTTTCACCACAGGTGATTGAGAAGCAAGTTGGCGTTTTCTATGGGGGACCCCTGACTATCGGCTTCTGAGTTTTTTTCTTCAGGGCTATTCAGTTTCTTCAGAGAAGAATCTTTCAGTGCCCTATAAGAGGAGATATTCTGTTGTCTTTCTGGAAGCCTGGTGGAGGAACTGTTTTGGGGGGGCCACCATTCAGGGCACGTTCCGTATTTTCAGCTCTGCATCTCGTTCATGCCTCCTGCTGTGCTAGTGTCACTGAGTCCACAACTGTTCTGGTTCAGTTCCACAGGCAATAAACCTCCTGTTCCTTGAGAGGCAGAGCAGGGCAGGAGAAAAGGTACTCAGGCACCTGTTGGTGAGGAGTGCAGGTGCAAGTTTGTGGGGCACCTGGGGCCCTTACTAGAGGATGTGCCTATGTCAGCCCTTCCTCCAGTTTTCATCCCCAGGCCTCCTCTGGTGCCTTTAAGATAGGCCCTGTCTTCAGGTGTCCCTGGTGGGTCCACCCTGTTCTCAGTGGCATCTCCCTGCTGCTTCTCTGGGTTGTAGATTCTTTCTCTCTACCAAGGCACTGACCACTCCCCTCTGTACTGTTCATCTTAAAATTTGCCACCTTGCATCTGCTGTTGTCTCCTTTCTGATCACTTTTCTCAACATGTATTTATAGCTGTTTTATTACTCTCCTGCATTTTTATTAGGGCTTTGAAAACAAAAAGAGATAAACACGTGTATTTAGTCCACAGGGTTTATCTGGAACAGGTTCAGTACAGCAAATAGACACAGTGTTTGTAAAAGTTTGTCTATTTATGGAATAAAAGTCAATATTTCGAATTTTGTTTTCCCAGTTACACTTCAGACATTTGAGATCTCTTCCTTTGATTAAACCACTTGGATTTGTTCTAAGAGCTTTTAACTTCAGGGTAAAACATATTTTAGTTAACATGGTATTGACCTGAAGGTTATTACAAAGAGGGAAGAATCAGTTTAAATGTTTTTAATAAACCATATTTAAAAGTAAGCCCTATATTTTTATGGGAATTTTTCTCTAAAGAGAATTTAAAGGGACAACTATTAAAAAACAATGACTGACAAGCTGGGGCTGGATCTCGAGTCCCCTTCTCCTCCTCTCTGGATACCTCAAGTACTTCCAGGGAGAAGCCAAGCTGAGAGAAAGAACGAACCGCTCCAACTGTTTCAAGCCCCAGCCACTTCAAGGCTCGCACTGGTGAGCACGTGGAGCAAGAGCTGGCAAAGTCACAGCTGTGCCCTTCATATGAAGTTGCTTGGAGGCTGTAGGAGAGAAGGCCTTGGAGGCCCCCACGCCAGTAAGACCACTAACAAGGTTCCCATGGGCCCACATAGGAGCGAGGGGCCTCAGACAACTGAAAAAAGGAGCCACTGAGAGTCTGGTGAGTCATTGCAGAGGACTGGCTTATGGCCTGTCCCACGGGAAATGTTTGGAGTGTGGGGGTGGTGGGGGAGACAGTCCCACTGGGAGAACATTGGGACACAGCATGGACAGCTGATCTACCCTCCAATCAGCACAGGCTCACTCAGTGGAGACTTGTCAGGAATATAGAATTGTATGGGTCGCAATTTGCTGAAAAGGCTCAGGCCCAGACCAGAGTTTCCAGACAACCCAGGTGTACCAACCTTCATATGACCCAGAAGTGCTTACAAGGTCAACAATTAAAACCTGAGCTGCACAAAAAGCCTTCCCCAGAGAATCAGCAGCAAAGCAGCAATTTAGCTCAACTAC